ATTCTTCTGGCGTTTGTACTGAAAACGGTTCTCCCCTCTTTTTGCCCCAAGCTAATCCCTGATTACGCTGGTCTGCTTTTGGAGTCATGCCAGGCCTCAAGTCCAGTAGTTGGCACTCTAGCTCGGTGCAGCAGAGTTCTGATGCTGTTGTGGGAAGCCGCTTTAAGTCTCATTTAAATGACAAACTATTAAGAATTAATATAAACACAGCCCTCCTAATAAATTCTACAGTCAAATCAAGGTACTGAGCAGTTATGGTGGCTCCTGGATCAACTCATGGTCAGTACAAAAATCCAGTGTGTGAATTCCCTGTGACTGCCCATTATCAGTAGTTGCTGGTGAAGACAGCTTTCAGAAGAGATAATTGACGTGTTAGCTTCCTCAGGTCAGTTCATTTGTAGGGTAAAAAGGACAGGATCCAGACAGGACATCCATCCTCCTCTCACTCCCAACGTTAAAGCTAACCACTGTAATCTTACTGTCTTGGTCTCTCGGGAGCACTCAGCATGGAGGAGTGATGATTTACTGAATGACTTGTTTTTGGTAGGCATCGCACTGGTTGAGTTAGACAACATGAACTCTTCGGAGCAGATGGTAGTGAAATGTGCGGCTATCATCGGGCTGACTTTCACGACTGAGTTGCTGCTCCACATCCTTCCCGAATGGACCCAGAGGAAGATGAATCAGACGCTTGCAGCCCTGGTGGATTCCCACATCTTCAAGTGTTTTCATAAAAGAAAGGACTCCCAGAAAGCACAGTCACAGGAAATGCCCTCCATAGAGTTACTTGTTTGCCCCGGGACGGTGAGACCAATTGGACAAGTGTCAGGTACGTGGAGCTGGCCAGAGACTGGGGGCATCAGAGTGTGCTGAAATCCCACTGCTCCTTGTCTGTGTTCTTGGTGATCTTTCCAGAGTGCTCTGTGAATCCTTCTTGTTAACATGCATAAAGTGCAGGGGCTGTCTCTAGTAGGAAGGAACTGTACAGGTCATTAGATTTTTTTTGCCTGTAGTTTTTAGTACTTCCTTACATCTTAAATGTATCTATTGACAGTCACAGCCTAGACAATGGAATCTCGCATCACACTTTGAAATAAACTCCTGAGAAGCATCTGTTTCAGGGTAATCATCAATGCCTTTTTTCTTTAAAAAAATAAAGGAAAATTCTGTACAATAATGTTGCAGCATTAGGAATGCTATTGTAAATGCATTCAAGTCACTCCTGCGGTATCTAGAGAGAGACAGTTGGGTCCAGAGGATAGGGAACTGGCCTGACACATACAGGAAACCTAAGCTGTACTTCTGGCTCTGCCACTGACCGGCAAGTCACTTCAGCTCTCTGTGTTTCAGTTTCCCGTCCCCCACTTTTCTGACTCATATGTAGATTATAAACTCATTGGGGCAGGGATTTTCTTTTATTACGCATTTATGCAGTCCCAGGATAATGTAACCCTCATTTCAGTTGAGATCTCTGTTGAATTACTTTAAGACAAACAATAATAACCATGATGTGGCAGCATATACATTAAAGCACTAAAATATAGTCATTCGAAAACCCCTAACATACTGTGAGGACGAACAGAGGTCAAAACGGGCTGGTATGAGCTAATATGTCTTACCTGAATTTTTTATTTTGTTCTATTCTCCTTCTACCTCACCTAGATTCCACCAAACTCTCCCTACAGTGTCTAAGAGCTTGTCTACACACAGATTGGCACAGAAATCACCACACATCTTTTGTTATTTCACATCTTTTGTTATTTCGGTGCAAGTCTGGCACCAACAATAGCAACAGGCCTGAATTAAAGTGGATGAGGTTATTTTGTCGTCCGCTGGTGTATAGCCAAGTGGTGATAATTCATACAGTGTGGAACTCTGGCCCAAATCTGGTGGTTGAGGAGCCTGCTATATCCATGGCTAAGGACTGAATTTTTTAGCTCAGGCAGTAATGTGTCATGCCTTCAGATCTGGTGGTCCTAGGTTTGATCCCGACCACCAATGACCCACCCCCCCAGGGCCGTGTTACACCTTTAGTGTGGACAGTTGCATCAGTGGCTGCAGCAGAAACAGAGCCTTGTGTGCTCAAATGCTGGCCTTGCTGAGAGGGGATGGATAAATCCACATTATCTTTCAGATATCCGCTCTTCTGTTTATAACCAAATCAAGCAAGAGCAGCTGGTGATACAATGCGGCGTCATGGCGTTTTGCATGCCAATGCTGCAGGAAGCGGCCTACGAGTGCTGGCTGAAGAGCCAGAAGAAAGCCTTATATCTCAAGTGTGCGAGCTATCTAGAAGGGCAGGCTCACAAATGCAGATGCTGCGGAGAAGGGGACTTCATTTCATTTCACCGCCACGCCGTGGAAATGATGCTGGAGAGCATCGAGTCTCAGGAAAACATTTCTGAGCAGCACCAGGAATACCCATTCAGCGAAGCAGCCTCACTGATCGTTTGCACAACCCTGAAAAGGCTTAAGGGTCCTTCATTTGAAGGTAAATGGAAGCCCTTGTTTCCACAGCACTCCCCA